ACTTGGTGCCTGCAAAGGAGGGGCAGGGCAGGAGACTGATGTAATGGTTCCCAAAAGCTGTGTGAGAATCAAAGTTCTTGAGAGTTTTCTGTGAGCACAGAGGCAGCTGCACACACATAGCCTTCCAAGAGCTGAGCCGGAGGAGCCTGTTAGCAGAGCTGCTGTGTTCAAATGCACATTGAGGGAAGAGCTGTGCAAGGTGCAGCTGGCAGAAGCAATGCCAAAGCACGGCTAGTGGAGGGCAAGGGCCAGAAGCCACTATCACTGAGAGGCTGGCCTTTTTACCCAGTAAGATTTAAAAATTGAGGTCAGAGTGAGGGTTACTAGTAGGTGTAGCACATGCTCTGTTGCTCTACCAAGTCACTTGCTTGAGGAGAAGACTTTATAATTGTTACAGTAATTATCCTTAAGGATTAGTGGCCATTACTCTGTTTATCCACCAGGTCAGAGTCTTCTTTCTTTAATGTAATACTATTGGCTTAAAAAATGTATTTGATTTTATGAAGGAGGACAGTGTTCTAAGGATTTGTGCTTTCTTTCTCAGGTTTCTGGGTAGGGGCTGATAGGTGCTTTTATCATGACTCCTGCAGATTTGAAGCTTACTGCTGCTGCAGTTACTCATTGCTTGGCAGGAGAGATGTGTAAGCTCAGCTGATCAAGCAGATCAAGCTGATGTGGCTCTCCTGTTGTCTAATCCATCCCTAGCTCTGTGTGGTGCTGCACTATGTTGTGATAACATAGACTGTGTCAGGATTGGAGGGAGCATTGTGCTCTACTGCCAAACATGGCTCCAGCTTTTCTACTAATATATAGATGGTGCAAAAATGAGTATAGTGAAGTGATTGGGTAGCTGGTGTCTGCTGTGCTGACACCCAAGTCTCAGGCATCTCAGAATATAGGACACTTGAGAGACTGAATAAGAGGTAAGGTTTAGGAACAGGCACATGGATCCACATTGCTTTAAATCTTTTTTGTCCTAAAGTATCTTAGGAAAAAAAAGGAAAGAACCTCAATGGAGTTACAAGTCCTTTTACACATTTTTATAAAGGACTTGTATCGCCATTGGGAAATTTTTTGAAGACCACCAGGCTCACTGTCTTTAAAAGCCAAGTTTTATCCACATGCTTCTGCTGCCCTGTTTCACCGAAGCAGAATCACAGAATCACTTAGGTTTAAAAAGACCTCTAAGGTCATGCAGCCCAACCTTTGACCAATCACCACTTGTCAACTAGACCATAGCAATAAGTATCATATCCAGCCAATTGGGAAATTTTTTGAAGACCACCAGGCTCACTGTCTTTAAAAGCCAAGTTTTATCCACATGCTTCTGCTGCCCTGTTTCACCGAAGCAGAATCACAGAATCACTTAGGTTTAAAAAGACCTCTAAGGTCATGCAGCCCAACCTTTGACCAATCACCACTTGTCAACTAGACCATAGCAATAAGTATCATATCCAGCCAATTCTTGAACATCTCCAGGTGACTTGACTCCACCACCTCCCTGGGTAGTCTGTTCCAATGCTTAACAACACTTTCTGTGAATAAATTCTTTCTGATGTCCAACCTGAACCTCCCTTGGTGCAGCTTGAGACCATTTCCTCTCATCCTATCATTGGATGCCTGGGAGAAGAAGACAATTCCCACCTTGATACAGCCTCCTTTCAGGTAGTTGTAGAGAGTGATAAGGTCTCCCCTGAGCCTCCTTTTTTACAGGCTAAACAACCCCAACTCCCTCAGCTGCTCCTCACATGACTTCTCTTTAGTTGCTGATTTTCTTCCCTCTCAGATGGTATCTAGAGAGATGTGCTTTCCTCAGGGTAGGGCAGCAGGCAGAGCAGACAAGGAACATGTCCTGAAACTCTCTTATTAGCCTGGGAGGGTGAGCTCCAGTACTTGTCTGGCTACGTGTTTTATGAGTGGGAGGTGGGGATTATCCCTGAAACTGGATTTGGGACATGGAGCATAAGTAATAGGGTGCAGACAAGGTGCCATGAGGCTGGTAGGGCACAGGCCACATCATATTTCATTTCAAATGCCTAGGTAGAGGACAAATGGATCCTTTCCTGAGAGCTGAAAGGAAGAGGGAGAAGAGAATAGATGAGCAGCTCTTCTGGGGAGAGGGAAAGGAGGAGGATTCACTGGTAAGAGCAACACTTTTCTGTTCTGCTGAGCTATCAGCCAGCTCTAACCTTTGTCTTGCCAGGCACTCAATTCTTGTTCATGGAAGCTGTAGCAAACACATGGATCTTATCAGGTTTCCCTCTTCCCAGTCTTCCAGCACCATTTTGTATGAGGAAGAAAGTCATTTGTATCCCCTTTAACATCTCTCCCAAAGACATGGCAAAGCTGTTTGGCAGCTGCCTTTCTATATGCAAGAAGTTCAGGTATAGCCTGTGAAGTGCAACCACCAGAGAATTGCTAATATGTGTGGAAAAGTCAGAGAGAGCCTAGGGAGCTGAGGGAGATGCAGAGCAGCCAGCCAGGACTGTGCAGGGGCCAGATGGGGCTGCAAGTAGTCAGGGCATGCAAGCCTGAGTGGCTGTGAGTCTCCTCCAAAGGAGACTTTGGAAAATGCTAAATTTAGAGTTGGGAGCAGTTTGAGATAGAGAAAGTGCAACACCAGTGAAGTAACTGCAAGTCACACAAGTGATCTCTGAAGTGGATCATTCGGTTTCTCAGTTCGATCCTGGCTCTCAGTTCAATCTCTGGCCAGCAAGACTGGGTAAGTGTTGTATCTCACTTCTGGAGTACACCAAATTTCTTCACAGCTCACAATTTTTCTTTTTAGCTGTGACAGCTCTGTAAGCTTGGCGTGTGAGCAGCAAACACATCTAGGTGACTTCTCAGATTGCCACATGTTCCTGTCTAGATTAGGTGATGTGAGCCCAAGCTAGTGCTGATCCTGTGCAAGTGCCAAAACTGTGCTGTCTAGAATGTCCCCTTTGCAGGGACATAGCCTCTGCCTCCATAAAGGATAAGCAATCTGCAGATCCCAGCTGGAGTTGCTCAGTTGCATGACAATGCTTGTGAAAGAAGCTCACAGAGACAGCTGTATATCATCTTTACTCCTGCTGCAGGTTATACAGTGGAATTAGCTGAGAGGCAGCTGGAGCGGGTGAAGAAATTTTACTTTCTGCTTGGTCATGAGGATCAACAGCCACACTCACCTGTGCAGTTGAACAGGGAGTGTGTGGACACTAGGGTGTTATGCCACTGTAGCCACCAAACTCCTGTTATCCAACGACCAATTGGAGTATTTTATGTTGTAGCAGGGTGACCCTAGCTCCATGCCAGGCACCCCACAAAGCTGCTCCATCACTCACCTCTGCAAAATGGACAGGGGAGAGAAAACATAAGGTTCATGAGTTAAGGACAGGGAGAGATCACTCACCAAATATTGTCAAGGGCAAAACAGACTCAGCTTGGGGAAATTAAGTGATTTTATTGCTAACAAGATCACAGTAGGATAACGAGAAAATAAAACAGACCTTAAAAACACATTGCCTCACCCTTCCCTCCTTCCCATCTGTAACTCCTCCCTTAAGTGATTTTATTGCTAACAAGATCACAGTAGGATAACGAGAAAATAAAACAGACCTTAAAAACACATTGCAGTGGTGCAGGGAGATGGGGAGTGGGGGCTATGGTCAGTATATCACACATTGTTTCTGCCAGTGCAGAGTCCTTCCCCTGCTCCAGCGTGGGGTCCCTCCTATGGGAGACAGCTCTACATGAACTTGCTCATGTGAGTCCTTCCCACAAGCTGCAGTTCTCCACAAACTGCACCACCATGGGCCACTCTCTACAGGGTGCAGTCCAAACCCTCAGGGACAGCCTGCTCCATTGTGTGTCCCCCACAGGATCACAAGTCCTACTAGGAACTCTGCTCCAGCATGAGTCTCCTCTCTCCACAGGTCTGCAGGTCCCTGCCAGATTCCTGCTCAAGCAGGGGCTTCCCATGGGATCACAGCCTCCTTTTGGGCATCCACATGCTCCAATGTGGGTCTCCTCTATGGGCTACAGGTGGATCTCTGCACCCTGTTAATCTCCATGAGTTGCAGGGGACAGATGCTTTACCATGGTCTTCACCACAGGCTGAGAGGATCCTCAGCTCCAGTGCTCTCCTTCTCCACTGTCCTTGGTGTCTGCATAGTTGTTCCTCTCACATATTCTCACTCTTCTCTTCTCTGGCCTCAGTTTCTTCTGTGCAATAACTTTTTTTCTTTCTTAAATATGTTATTGCAGAGGCTTTACTACCACCACTGATTGGCTCAGCCTTGCTGCAGTGCTCCATCCTGGAGCCACAGGCATCGGCTCTGCCAGACATGGGGCTGTTTCCAGCAGCTTCTCACAGAAGCCACCACTGTAGCCCCCTGACTGCCAAACCTGGCCATGCAAAACCACTGCACATGTTTTATGTGCTCTAGCACAAAAGGTCCATCCTTCTCCCAAAGAGCTTACAATGCAAACTGTGAGAAAAACTAAAATATTACAGGAATAGCAGAGAACATGAGAATCACGCAATAATATGGGGCGCGTGGAAGGGCAGTACATGTGGGCGATGCAAGTGATGCCCACTGAGTTGCCTGAACTTTTCAGTAACCTCATTGTCCTTGGGTGCAGCCAACCCTCAGGAAACTATTTTAATTTCTCTGTTCTTGTAAGAGGTTTTTTATGAAACCAGAACTGTGGGCAGGGATTTTTGCCATGGCACCAGGAGGTATATAATTAACCTGCGTGTGTATCCCTTGAAGAGACAATGATTGACAAATCTGTAGCTGCAATATAATGGAATTTTGCCATATAGGATTAAAAATAATAACACTTAATTCTCTGGGGTGGGGAAGTAATATGATAAAGAGGCAAAGACAGAGGCACAGAAGCTTCAACATATTTTCCTTCTTTTAGAGAGGTACCAACAAAGCAAGATCAAGTGGCTCTATCCTTTGGCTACACAGCAGTTGTTCACAGACAACATTGTTTTGAAAATCAGAATTGAAATGGTAACAGTGAGTGGAGTGCTGGTGTTTTTTGTGGTGTTTCTGCTGTCTATACAGTTTCTGAAATTGCAATGGATGCGAAGAGGACTTCCTCCTGGACCAACTCCATATCCCTTCTTTGGAAACCTGCTGGAGATGAACTTCAGAATTCATCACGAGCACCTTAAAAAGGTATGTATTTTGGGGCAATAAATTAATGCCCTCATAAGCTGATTGAAAAGTGAATGCATTTAATATAATCTTATTTTGAATGCTGGGGAGAGATTTATTCTAAATTATATAAATGTGAAAATAGGTGATCATTAAAATAACTGGTTTTTAGTAGGAAAATTTGCACTTACCATGAAATGAGTCATTGCAGCCTTACATGCATATAAACAAAATAATACTGATGGTAATAGTTCTTCTTGCACCTAAGAAAAAGATACATTTTAAAGCAGAGTCCTTAATTCTCTACAGCCTTTTGCATCTCTGTTGTTTTAACAGTTTTTGCACTAGCAGTTTCTAAGTATCCCATGAAATGGCTGCTGAGGGCATGTGTGTTTTCTCTCTTTGTTCTCAGCCTTCCTTTTTCCTGCTTCTTCCCTGTCCCGTTCTCTCCTCTCAAGCTAAACATTTCAAGGCAAAGTGGTATGACTTCACAATATAAAATAGTAGTCAGTGCCTGTCAGCTGTGTTTTCTTCTATTTCTGAACCCCCCAAACCCAAAGTAGTAGTATTGCTCATCCCAAAACTTCAAAACCCATGAATTAGTCCTTATAAAAGTGAAATTAAATACAAATGTGCAGCATGTGCATATACATGTTTGCTCAGTGTGCATACCTGTTCCCTCTTAATTTCCTCTCAGGTGGCAAAATTTTGTCCTCCTCTAGTCCTGCATTTCTTGGAATGTTTTGACAACTCCCCACTATTCTTCTCCACAGGCTCCTTTTCTAGTTCCTGATTCACCAGCCAGGGAAAGGGCTGTTCTGCCCACTGGTAGTGATGTCTGTGTGCATAGCACTGGGAACACAAGGTTGTCACAGCTGAGCTAGAAAGGAGAACATGATTCCTGCATTACCTCCTTGGCTGCTTTTGCTACACTTGATACACAGAAGGGATTCTGTATTTGGCTTGTGTCACTCTCATGAGCCAATGCTTTCTTGTAACTAATTGTGAGCAAGAAAGAATCATAGAATCAGCCAGGTTGGAAGAGACCTCAAAGATCATCAAGTCCAACCCTACCGTCGTTATTAGACCACGGCACTAAGTGCCACATCCAGTCTCATCTTGAAAACCACCAGGGATGGTGAATCCACCACCTCCCCGGGCAGCACATTCCAATGCCTGATTACCCTCTCCATAAAAAAATCTCTTCCTAGAGTTCATCTACAATGTGTTTGAATTGTAACACATGCAATAAGTAATAATGTTGCAGACTTTGGCCATATTGGCTGACATTTTAGAAACATCTCGATTATTAGCAAGTGAGACTTCAGATATAAACCTGGCTTCAAACTGTAAGAACAGATTTGACACTCTCTTCTCAAGGTCAGTCACCCTTGGGGCATCTGCCAAGGGAAAAGATCTGATTCATCCTGTTTGATTTAAACGTACAGGTTCTCATGCATGTTGTTCTGATGCTGCTTTGTTCTACAGATGGCCAAAATTCATGGTAATATCTTCACCTTGTGGCTTGCAGACATTCCTGCAGTTGTCCTGCAAGGGTTTCAGGCAGTGAAGGAAGGTCTGACTGTCCATGCTGAAGATGTTGCTGGAAGGCCCCTGATCAGCACCTTTCAAATGCTGACACATGGAAATGGTAATGATTATTCTCAGAAATGCTTTTCATGTGTTTTAACCCTAGTTTTGGAAACTGATTTAGAGCTTTGAAGCCCATAATTTACAGTGGGGTAAAAAAAAGGTATTATTTTCATTACCCTTTTGAAACAGTTCTATTTTTGATTCTGTTGGAACAATAATGGCAGCTTAGAGCTAAGGTGAGAGTTTCTATACAGGAGGTAGGTGGCTACACTACAAAAAGACAGGAAAGAGGAATGTTGCCAGACTGCTGGCAAAAATTTGAAAAAATTAGAATAAAAGAGGTTCTTGTATGTATCAACTGTATCAATTCATTAATTTATAACATACTGACAGCATTAGTTCATTGTGATCCTAGGTGTTATGTTCTCTAATGGTCACATCTGGAAGCAGCAAAGACGTTTTGGACTTACAACAATGAGGAAAATGGGAGTAGGGAGAAAAGAGCAGGAGTGTCGACTCCAAGAGGAGGTCTGTAACTTGGTGGAATACCTACAGAATATGAAAGGTATGTGACTCGGTGGGCAGGGCAGTCTGTGCTGTGGAGGATGTTGCTGAAGAAGGTGTTACTGGTAGCTCTTGAAACTATTTGATTACAAAAATGGATTTAAAGTGTACATGCAGAGCTGAGTCTCAAAGGCCTGTATGGCACGACCTGTATGAGACATTTCCTTGCAGAAGTGCCGAAACTCCACAGCATGAACTTAGAACTGAGACTCCATGGTCCCTATCAGTCAGTGTTACTACTTCTGGGTCAGTTTTACGTTACTCATGGTCACAGAGTCAGTGTCACAGCAAACTGTAGCAAAATCAGTGTCACAATGCCCTGTAGCCCTCTGCAGAAACAAAATCCAAAGCACAAAATATGAAAGGCTTTGACCAAGGCTGCATGACCCTGCGCTCTGCTCTGGTCAGTGCAGTGTGAAAAGCTCAGCTCACATGGTTTGTGTGTGCTCCTCAGCAAGAGAGGGAGTTTGTTCAGGTTGTGCTGCTGAATGACAGGGTGAATCCATAGGTTGGCTCAAATATTCTTTTATTAAAAGAGATGAGCAAAAAATGAAGGTGGTTCCCTTCTCAGTTCATCTGAGTATTTAAGGTCTCAGCTGACCATTTTTGTACCCTGGTTATTGCCAAACACGAGACCTGCCATGCCAAGGTTTGCTGAAGTCTTGCCTTTTTTTAACCAACAGTGTCTTTTAGATGTCTGAAGTTACTTTTTTACTCAGGCCTTTTACCAATAAATCTAATTCATGTCAGAAATGTCTGTAAAATGTTAGCAGCTATCCTGTCAGTGGGAAAAGCAGGAACAGTGATTGTTAATGGTGAATGCTGTTCACTGTGTTTACAGGAAAGCCTCTGGACCCCACAATGCCTGTTGTCCATACTGTTGCCAATGTGATCTTTTTGGTGATTTTTGGACATGGCTTCTCCAGAGATGATGAAGATTTTCACCGCTTGATTGAATCCACTGACACTCTAGCAGAATTTTTGAACAGCACCTTTTTTTTTGTGAGGAAAATTGTTTTGTTTGTTTACTTTCTATAGCTAGACAATCAAAAAGGCAATTTGCTTGTTATTCTGATAACAGAAATAAATACTAGTACACCTGGAATTGCAGGAGTACACATCAGAACTGTATTTCCAGATGCCTGAAACAAGTTCAAAATTTGTTTCAATTGTTTATGCTTCATCCTAGCACAGAAATTTCCTGTGTATGGGAGACAAGGATGGAAACACAAAGGTTTGTTATGTGGTTGGGAGATGTGCAAAGGACTTCCTTGCAAAAGTGCTACCTGTACAACTCTAGTGTTTGAAACTATGCCTGAAACTCAGTAGTAGAATATAGGTACAACTATCTGAAAAGCTCTGGAATAGGCTTCTCTTAATTTCTGTCCAACAAAGTGGCTTTCTTCACTCTATGGTATTATATGGCTGTCAACAAATGACTAATATGGGTCTTTACTTCTTCTTTCACTACTGCTAGCTAACTTCATAGAAACTGGAGTAGAGGAACTGTGTTGTGCAAAGATAATGTGTGATGAAATTACTTCATGGGAGCTTTTCCCTATAGTTTTTGTCAGCAACACCTGTACCACTTCTGCAAGTCTTTATGAGAGTTCAGTGACACATGCTCGAAGTCACTTTCCTTTAGCTGCTGGATGATATCTGTCCCCATTCATGACAGCAGCTCCTAACTTCACATCTAGTCCACAGGAAAGAGAAAAAAGATCTTTCTTGCTGCTGTGTGAGCAGCTGTGGCTGCAGCTGCCAAAGCAGTGGAGCAGATGGCCTCAAACTGGGGCAGTATTATCATGAACCATTTATGAATGGGAACCACAGTACTGTGTAGTGTCAAAAAGTCTATTTACCCCTTGTATAAGGCAATTGATTCTGCAGAACTTACTGCTACTCATCCATCTCTGTGTCTTGCATGATTTCACCCATCTCTTACTACTTGGAAACTGCTGTAATAAGGTCATATAGAACTTGAGGACTAATTCAATACTTTTGCTAAATAAGATAAAATAAAACTACTCATGATTTATTGTCCCAGAAGATGCAGGTGGACTGATTCCTAAGCAACCTTCTAATTAAGCTAGACACAGGTTCAGCTGTTTCCAAACTGCTCTCATTAGGTATTTGTATAAGCTATTCCCAAAATATCTCAGTAGTATGTTCACAGCCAACAAAAACATCCCAGTCCCATATTTCATTCTGTCCTGCTCTTCACAGTGCTTTCACAGGTGTGCACAATCCTTTAATGATGGGCTGTACTAATCTGTTTTCCTGGTAAGTGGACAGGTAGCATTAAGGAAAACTGTGCAGCAGGATGAAGCAGAAATAAAAGCCAGGAATCTGAATAGGCTTGCAGGGAGAAGTTCTCTGTAATGCAGCTGCCATTTAAATAGGTGAGCCCAGAAGTTATGTCCTCATGCATAATTTAAGCTGCAGTAATTCTATAACTGCAAGAGGACGAGGACATGATGCAATCTGGAAAAAGGAAAAAAAGAAGAAAGTGAAATGAAGTAGATGAATGGAATTCATGTAAGAATTGTTTTGTTTCTTCTCTGCTGAGATGTGGTTGTATAATGGTATAAGGCAAAGAATGTGAATATATTTAGAACAATGAATAAACAGGTGGAGCACACAGAGCTCAGTGTTTCTACATCACTGAATTGCTTTGTCTAATGCATGGGTATGATATGCTTGTTTCGTATCTATGAGAAGGCAAATCTGAGTGAAATCCCCACGCATTTGGTATCCCACCGTTTGGACAGTTCTATTTTCAATTAACAGACTTGCCAAGGAAGGCAGCCTGGATATGGTTTGTTTAGTGATGAGATACAAATTCTATGTACTTTGGATACAGCAAGAACAGGGACATGTTTCTTGGGAGGTCCTTGGTACTAAAGTTCAGCCTAGCGAAGAATTGGGGTACAGAGGAGCTTCATTTGGTCTTTGTGCATCACATTTAAATTTATATAATCTTATTGTGATTGCCTATATATACAATTATAATATAAAACTGAGGGAAATTCTGCTCCAGAGAAAAATGAGATTAAGAAAGTTTTTGATGGCTTATAGGACAGGCACGATCCATTCAGTGTAACGGTGCAGGTTCAGTCCTCAGTCTTTCATCTGCTTTTTGCACTACCCAGAAGTCTCTTTTGTGATTCAAATTTAGCTTGCTAAGTATCACATAGTTCCATGTCATACCACCTACCTAAAATATCTCTTTTACAGGCATATGAACTCTCTCCATGGTTTGCAAGTTATTTCCTATCACCATTTAAAAAGGTCATGTCATGCACAGATTTTATGAAGGCTCTAGTAGCCAAGGAAATTGAAAGCCACAAAGCAAAAGGAAGAAAAGATGAAAATCAATATTTTATTGATTACTATTTGGATAAGATACATAAAGTGAGTATCTCTGACCTCTTACACTCCACTAACAACAAGCGATTTTAAGTGTTCCTTTGATAAAAATGATGTCTAATTTAAATTTAGAAGCAGACAATTCTCCATAGAAAATCTTATAGGTAGCTAAATGAAAAAAACCTAAGTGATGGCAGGAGGAAGATGAAGGAATAATGTAAGTTCATTTTCAGGTAGATTATTTATAACCACAATGGTCACAGATCTGCATATGGTTAAGTTATAACTAGATGAGATTTGCAGCAAGAGTAGAAAGTGTGTACAATAGTAACTGTGTCATGGCTGAAGAACAGGATGTGTACGGGGAGAGAATAAATTAACAGAAGTACTGGAGAATACTAGAAAATATATTTTGTTCAGAAAATTTTATTTTCTAGCCCTTTTGGGGTTGCTTTGGGTTTGTTTGGGTTTTTTATATATAATATCAGAAAATATTCCTGTGATGCAAGGTGATTTCCTTTTCCTTTTGTGTGCCCTAACTCGAGCTTTCCAATTCCTATCTGCAGACTAAAGGAGATGCTGATGCAACTTATGATGAAGAAAACTTGATCCAGACTATTTTTGACCTCTTTGTAGCAGGTACAGAAACTACAGCCACCACTTTACGTTGGGCATTGCTCTATATGGTGCTTTATCCTGACGTTCAAGGTAAGCACACCCGAAGAGGTCTGCACCTTTTTAGCAATACACAAGTTTGAATAGTAGTAGTAGCATCTGTTCAAACAGCCTTTCTAACACAGTGGCCAGTCATTTCAGGTTTTGGTTTTAAGAGCTCTACACTGAACGCAGAATGTGACTCATTTCATCAGATGGAGGAGTTTAGTCTCAGATGATACAAATGTCACCATTGCCCCTCCACAGACAATAATGATTAGACTTCCCCTGAGGACAAGGTGGAGTTTGTAAGTCCATGACTCCTACTCTTTGATTTTTCCCTGGCTTCTTGCAGCAGAAGTAGCTTACATACAGCAGAAGGTTGCTAATATGTCTGAAAACTTTAAACACAGATATCTATATATAAACAGATACAACAAAAATATTGGGGTGAGTAGCTTGAAAATGTGTGCTTTTAATAATGATTGTCACAGAAGAAAGACACAGGTTGGCAGAGTAAAACAAGTGAAGAGTCAGAGTGTATGGGATAGAAAGGATTAGAAGGAATATACATCACATCCAAGGCCTCATATTTGAGAGTTTAAGCTGGGCACGAGGCACAGCAGGAGCCTGGCAAGTAGAAAATGGTGAAAGCCTTAAGGAGAAAGGATCTCCCATTGTTGTTACCTAACAGCTCTACAACAGGCCTAAAATTTGAGACTGGGTTGCACATACTGAATTTTCACAATATGATCTTTCACCCTCTCAGGATATATTAAAACATTCTTAAGCTTCCTGGGGGTATTTCTAATTGCAGTGATAAAGGCTGTAGTGTTAAAAAACTGATCACAACTTGCCATTTCAGCTCAGATTCTAAGTTAGAAAAAGAAGTTCTTGGGAAAAATTAATCTGTGTAAGTGCTCCCCAAGGCAGGTAATTGCAGAATGGCAGTTGGGCCAACTGTGACAAACAAAATCTATGTCCTTCTGAGACAAGAACAATCCTTGGTCAATTACTAAACTGCTCTCCTAATACATGATTAGTATTTTTTTACTTGATTCCCTGCCTGTAAAAAAATATATTAATCAAAGTATTTTTATAAATTACCTCATCAGTTAATGTAAAAGGAACTACATATTCTTATAGATTGACTTCATCTGCTGTTGTCATTTTTAAAAACATTTGCTTGGGTACACAACTTATAAACAATCTCAGTGTCAAATGTTACTTGGGTCATCTGTATGGGAATTTGAAGGCATTCTTTTTTATAAAGTATCGTTTCCATCCTGTTGGATGCTTTTCTTACTCTAAAAAGCAGTAGGAAAATGCTGAGTATAGAGTTTCTAAATTGTCTATTGTATATTTAAAGCTGAATATTCCTCCTTAGAGAAAGTCCAGAAGGAGCTGGATGCTGTTCTGGGTTGTTCCCGTGTAATTTCCTATGAGGACAGAAAAAAGTTGCCCTATACAAACGCTGTAGTTCACGAGATTCAGCGATACAGTAATATACTCTTAATTGCACTTCCCAGACAGAGTGTGAAGGACACGGAGCTGCTGGGATATCGTATTCCAAAGGTACAATTATGCTGAATATTTGAACAACTTTGATCTTTGGTCCATTAGAATGGTTTTAGAAAGGCTTTTGAGGGTTTTCCTGATCAGTGACATGAATTCCTGTATTCTGTGGGTTCTAGCGGTGCCCCTAAGTGATGACTATCTCCAGGTATGGCCCTTCACAAGGAAAGCTGCCCTTTGTCCTACATATTATTAGATTCTTCACTCATTATTTCTGATGAAGCCACTGCTTCTTGTCTTTCCAGAACACGATTATTTTATCGAATATTGACTCTGTTCTGTCTGATCCTGAAAAATGGGAGACCCCCAATCAGTTCAACCCAGGCCACTTTCTGGATAAAGATGGAAACTTTGTAAACAGAGAAGCATTCTTACCATTTGCAATAGGTACGTGCACTGAACATGGGTTTATGTACTCCTTGTGATAACAACTTAAGACCCATTCATTCCCCAACATAACTGGGTAGGCACATACAAATGGGTGTATACACACATTGCACTGTTTTAAAGATCTCCAAGAAGACAACAGTCTAATTGTATGTGGAAAAGATTGGAAGTGAAGGAATGACACAAAGAGAAGTTTTTCTTAGAAGACAGATCCAGTATCCCTTGAAGAAGAGATCCAGTTATCAAAGTAGTCACAGGAAGATGCATGGTGCTAGGAGGACTGTAAATGTAAACTGTGTCACTCTGGTGATTATTTCTATTGTGTCTTGCTGCCTTCTTCTGTAAGTATAGACCAAAATTTTATGTGGATATACATGCAGCCTTTCAGTTCTGCATCACTAAATGACAAAGTTAAGAGAAAAGGACAAAGCTTGCAGAAAACAAGCAAACAAACAAACCCCCAAGCAAGTCAGAAAGGGAGATGTGATAGAAATCCTTTGGCTGATTGCCTTGTCTGTCTCTTCACAGGGCATCGTGTGTGTATGGGGGAGCTGCTGGCAAGGATGGAGCTGTTCATTTTCTTTTCCACCCTGCTACAGGCATTCAGGTTCACCCTGCCAGAAGGAGTGAAGGAAGTCAACACCAAGTTTGTTTTTGGGGCCACAATGAAGCCACCTCCCTACAAGCTCTGTGCCATTCCTCGATAGGACATGGCAGATTCAGGGAACAGTTACTCTGTAAGATTGCTTCTGTACATGGAATCCTTTTTGCATGTCTTAAGACTTTTGCTTTCCTCTTCATTTGGTTAATCACTTCCCTGAAAGATGCTTTTCAGATAGTTGCATACTGAGGATTGTAACTAAAGAAAGTTCATATTTTGTTCTTTCTTTTTATTTGGAAAATCTTGGTAATTTCTCCTGATGTGTAACAAATAAAGACATTAAGGGAAGAATTAGAATTGGGCCTTGTTTATTGCCAACTGGAAAAAGAAACCTTACAGTTTGCTAACTTTACAGAGAAAAACTTGAGGCAAGGTCTATACATTTGAAGTCTCATGAATGAAGATTTGGGCATTCTTTCTCATAAGCCACAGTTGCATTTGTGGAGATAGGCTCAGATGTCTTCCAGTCTGTCTCAGAATATTAGAGGGTGCAGGAGATACTGGAAGCTTTTGGGAAGAAAAAATCTTATCTTATAAATTATCTTTCTAGAGAAGCACATTATGTGATCTGAGATAACATTCCTTTAGACTGATACAGTTTGCTGTTGAGCAAGCTTGTTATATACAACTCTGTCACTGGCAAAGCAGTTCAGGGTGTCACCCTGTGAAATAGATAGCATTTCAGGCCTTCAGATGAAAATAGAGGAGTGGCTTCATCAGCCAGTTGTGGAGAGCTGTTCATAACAGGCAAGGAGCAGGGATCTGAGGACAAATAACAACTATGAGTGGTCACAAAGTGCTGATAATTTATCCCTTTTTATGAGCCCACTGGTTGCCAGCAACATAAGAACATTTCTTCTTTATAACAGGCAGTCTGCTGGTGGTGTTTGCTCCAGATCCTCCAATAATTTATTCAGCTTCATTTATTCTTTCAGTTCTTTATTGGATTCTTTTATCACAGTTAGCTGACTTCAGATCAGTCAGCATAAATTAGTGTATCATGACCAAGACAATATTTGGCACTATTGAAGAATTCTTGAAGCCTTTTTTGAGCATGGTCCCGAAGGATTTGGCAAAAGTGGATGTTTAACATTTTACTAGTTTGTTTACTGGCAGTTAACAAGAGATTTTTTTTGGTGGCATTGGGATATGCTCTTCTTGTATGAGGTACAAATTTGATACTGTATGCCAACACAGCGAGGATGATTCTTATACCCTGATTAGCTGACAGTGCCATCTCCAGGACTGACATCATTATCACAGCTGTATTTGTTTCAGGTACCTCTGCCTACCACCCCAGTCTAACAGGCAGGGATGTACAAGATGGCTAATCTGCATACAGGATGAAACCTGGGTTGCCATCCCTCCAGGATTACCTTTATGGGATGGTTCAACCTATGTTGAGCATGTCCTGACAGGTAGGTGATTGGTATGAAGTCCCCTCCATGCTGGAACTGCAAACATCCCCCTGGCAGTAGCTCCACACTGGTAAGAGGGTGGTTCCTTGGTATCCACCTGGATAGCAGGGGGAGAGGCAGCAGTTGCTTGCCTCTAGCACCAAAGTTAAAAATCACTAATCCTAAACAATAGCTGGTAGATAGCTCTAGAGAAATGATGCTGCTGGTTGCATTTAGTAATTATTAAGAAAATAGAGCTTTGGCAATCTCATAAATACATTTTCCATCAAATAAAGTAAGACAAATTCCATGCCTGCATCATACAGGGAGGGAGGGCAGGACTGCTGCCAGGGCAGGGCCTTGGCATTGTGGAAGCAAACCAAGGGCCAAAGTCTGGAAAAGACAGGCCTTCAGGAAAACACCACAGGAAAAACATTTAAAACATCCTGAAATGGCCAGAGGATGAGAGGAGACACAGATGCCCTGATCAGAGGAATGTGTCAGCACAAAATATGGCATAGGGACGAGGAAGATCTTTGGGATGGGCTTAAGACTATGACAAAGGATGTGGGTGAATCTAACAAGGGGCTGTAGGGTGTTTTGATATCTGGATTTGTGAGAAATGGCTGATAATGTGAAGACTCAAGGCTGCAAGCCTAAAGAAACAGAGGTCCTGCTGTGAGGCAGCAGCCCTGGAGGGGTGAAAGCCCCAGGGCTTCATTTCTTTACTGCTCCATGGAAGAGATCACTGGACAAAAATGACTTTTCATGATGAAAAATCATTTAGATGGAAGATCTTTGAATATCTAAAAGGACAGGGAGTGCACTGCATTGATTCCAAATGAAAAATTCTGATACATTGGTGAATTTGAAGTAGATTTGGTAAGATTAGACTGGAACCAGAGCTGGTAAAACTTACCAAAGTCTCCTTTTGAAGAGATTTCTTTTCCCTATTGAAAGAGAGAGGTAAACTAGAAATGATTGCCTTGAAAAATAAGTGTTTTAGTGGGCACAAACAAAGCTTTAGTGGAACCATAGAAACATCCCTTTCTTGGTTAACACACATTAATGAGTTTTGTGTTAGCAGTAGCTAAGTGCCATGGTCAGAGGCTAATTGACTTGGAGGTCTGGAAACTGGGAGTTGACAGACTCCAAGCTGTTCTTTCTCGATCAGGGTCTTCCATGTCCCAGAGCCACAAGTCACAGAAATAGTTCCTGTCCCAAAGACAGGGCACTTACAAGAAGCAAATTGGTGCACAAGTCATCTTGGCAATTTTTTTCAGAAGACTGGTGAAAATATGTTTCTTTTGCAAGTGTTCTGTTTTCAGGGAATGGGCATTTGTGACAAGGAAGCACTGGTCCATTAGCATTTCAATCTAATCTGTAGCATGGAGCTGCAACAGCCATTGTTCTGTGGTGTCCAGAATCCCTCTCGTGTGGATTTCATGGTCTGGTTGCAGCCCCCAGTTGTGGGTTTATGGCTCCTGCACGTGTTGAGGCTTGGCAAAGAGCCTTGGCTACAGACTGTGTTTATTCCTGAGTTACGAAGCATGACACATGCAAGTTATGACTAGTTCTAGCTGGGACTCTTAGTTCCAGATGTATCTCAAGATCCCTAGTAGGTTTTCCCATGTTTGTTTGGATTTTTTCAACCTGTGTGTTTTGTACACGATGTACTTTCTACATGAATATGCATTATTCATCTCATCAACTTTCTAATGATTTCTCCAAATATCCTTATGCCAAGGTTGAAATGGGAAATCCAGAAGTAGATGAAACCCTCAATGAGCTTAGAAAAATAGGTTAGAAACAAAAAGTGGAGTCATACATTAAACCAGTTATGTTTTCAATTGCATTCAAAAGCATAACAAATTTTGCTTTTTGTATTAAGCATTATACAGTTGCCTATGTACCCTAAGATAAATATGAGCTTTTAACTTCTATCAGACTTGCCATTACTAGATATAATGTGTACATGGAAGATCTATAAAACAATTGAAAAGCTCCAAGATTCAATATCCACTTACATTTGTATCCTTAATTTGTATGTATGGGCTATTGCTTTTCTAAAAGCATTCCTGGAGTATTTGTAGGAGCACATACCATCCAAAATTGTGTCAGAAAAGTTAGATGGAGAATTTACATGTATCTACATTGCCTGGAAAATCTTGGCCCTAGTCTTTTAAGACACCATTCCCACATACCCTGTGATCCATATTTGATAACCTGGATGGGATGAGGGAGAGGGGTGTGCATCTATTAAATATGCTTCAGCATGAGAATGTATTAAGTGGGACAGAGAGGGAGTGGTTGATAATAAAGAGGGAGGGTTAGAGGCGTGGAATAGTTATTATATGAAATTTAAGCTCTTATGGAAAAACTGGTTGAGCAATCAGTCTTAATAGCTTCAATAGACTGTTTTCAATAAAGACAAGCTGGTGAAAGCAGATGGTAAAATGTTGACACTAAGTCAAGGTCTTATAGCCGTGGCTGTATTTCTTCTAATTACACAGTTTTTAAAGTTGCAGCAAGTGCGGAAACGGTTTCCTCCTGGACCAATCCCTCTTCCAATTTTTGGGACCTTGATACAGCTGAACTTCCAGTTTAATCGTGATCTCCTCATGAAGGTACTTATTTTCAGATACTCCTAATTGTTTAAAAGTCTTTGTAATTTCTCATGCTGTTTGCTATGTGAAAACATCCTGTTCCTAACCCGCCCTGGTAGCATTTTGTGACCGTTAACTGGTCACTGTGTTGTCATGCTTGGTTTGGTTCAGAACTGCTGGTTTGGTTGGCAAAAGAAGACAAAGTTATTGCAGTGTAAAGCAGTTTGCCAAGCTAAGAAAACTGGTATTTAAAATTCTGAATGCATGGAGATCATTCTGATACTTAAAACACTGACATTGACAAATTAATGTGAAAATTGATATAATTAAATACCTTCAGGGATAATGTATCAGATTTGTGGTTAGGGAAAAAAATGCTATTAAAAAATTTACTTTCACTGCATGGATTTGTAGCTTTCTGAGCACTGGCACCCTCTAGCTTGAGTAAATAGATACTTAATGCACTCTGTGTGTATGTGCTTGTTTGTATTGACAGGGTTGAAAACGGGTGGGAGGAAAGAAGAAAGTAATGATCCAGTCCCTATAAACTAGCTACTCCTCTGACATTTCTGTGTTCTTTTGTGTTACATTACCTGTACAAATGATAGAAACCCTCTTGAAATAAATTAATGAATATAAAATGTCCTTTATCTCATGAATAATTGTGAACTGAGGCTTGGTTTATATATAGTGATAAAAGCTACCTAATGTTTCTTGACATAGATCTGTGACTCTGAAAAGTGGGAATACTCAGTTCTTTCCAACAGTGAATACTGGAAAAGGCTTTTATGCTTTCTCACGCATAATTGTAATCTTGTGGGAAAGAGGGAGAACATCACTCCACCTTAGGGCTGATCCTGCAATCAGTGCAAAAACAGGTTCATCCTCTGTCTGTTTGCAGTTTCTGGGATTTCATCTGTGCTTTCCTGGCTTCTCTCCCATTTCTAGCTGGCAAAAATTCATGGCAACATATTCACGTTATGGTTTGGACGGGCCCCAGTGGTCATACTGAATGGATTTCAAGCAGTGAAGGATGGCATGAC